CCTCTTTAGATTCACTGGACAGTATCAGCCTAGCAAACGTATATTAAATACATGACTAGATCATCTTAAGTCACATAACACAGGTTTATAGAATTCAGTCTGATTAAAAAATTATTACCTTCTTTAAGCCTTCATTGTATTCCTTTAAGATCTCTGTCTTGTTATTTACAGGATTTGTGTATGTTTTGCAAACCCTTAATTGAGCTCTTTGTGTCTTACTAATTAATTGTCATAACCACTATGCATAATGCAATTCCTGGCATATAAATCTTCAGCACATGAATTTTTAATAAATTAATAATCCCAACAAGTACTACTAAGAGATTTTCTTTTAACTTCAGATGAAATAAATTAAACTATCTATTTTCATCAGATTGGACATTTATGTCATGGGGCCTTCCTGGGAGATGTAGAGAAAGACTTCAGAGTGGAAGTGTGCTTTACCCTCTTCTTCCTTAGGCTCTTTGATTGATTAGGGCAAGCTTTTCATATAGTAACAGGAAATGGGGCCAGCAGAGTTAGCCTTTTACTTGCATGGATAACTTAAAACAACTAAATTGTCAAAGCATTGTAGGTTTTCATTTCATGACTCCTTTGGAAATAGAAGTAAGTGGTGTTTGTTGTTTGCCATATTTTTGAAGGTTTAATCACTTTGACTAGATTATATACTTACTGGAAAATGTTCAAATTTTTAGAGATGTTAAGACCTTTCTTCTTAAGCTGATTATAATTTTTGGACAATATTTGGGACTGTGCCTGTCATTTATGATATATAGCAAATGACACAAAGAGAGGTAGGAGATTCTGTTGGGTTGATGCTTATAATGTGGAGTGTGTATTATCCCACAGAAGCAACACAAATGATTTTTAGAAGGAAACTATCACTTAATGTTTACCATAAAGTAAATATTTGAGAGATGTTGGCAATAGCTTACTAGTTTTATTTTTTTCCTTATTAGTATTATATATAGATGTGGAATCTGATTTTCATGCCAAAGTTCCTGTTGTGGTGTGCAAAGATCGGAAAAGGTTAGTAACAATGAAAATAGTTTTTGAAATAACAAGTAAATATACAGTGAACATTTCCAAGGCAGAAAATTTTATTTTATTTTGTTTTGTTTATTTTATTTTATTTTATTTTATTTTATTTTATTATTAAAGTTTATTTATTGAGAGAGAGAATGCACACATGCAAATGTGCATGCACAGGGTAGGGACAGAGAAGGAGAGACAGAATCCTGAGTTGGGGCTCTATCCCATGAACCATGAGGTCATGACCTGAGCTGAAATCAAGAGTCAGACGCTCAACTGACTGACTGACCCACCAGGCGCTCCAGAAAATTTTGTTTTAGATTTCTCCTTAGATTAATATACTATCTATTAAAAATAAAAGCTTACTAAAAGCATGTCAAAAAAAGGAGAGTTACCAATTAAACACAAAACACAGTAAGGCAGAACTTCCATTTTTTTCTTAGAGAAGTTCATTCACCCAACAGCATTGTGCATTTACTGTATGTTAGGTACTGCTTTGCTGTAAGGATACAAACATAAATAGGAAATAGCCGCTCTTCTCAAGGAGCCCACCATCTTTTAGAATCTAATTTTTAGTTCACGGAAATTGAATGAGTCACTGAAGACTAATGTTGCCTTTTTAGTCTGATGTATGTAGGATTGAGAGCAAAGCGCCTGTCAAAAAGGAAACTGAGATAATCCTATTTGCGATCAATGTGGGAGACATAAAAACAATAGAGAAGTAATTAAGTGTTCTCTAAGTGTTCTTTTATTGAATACTAACTTGTATATCTTACATTTTAAGAGTACTGTATTTTCTTATTCAAAGTTAGAAGAATCGATGGAGATCTAATTCAACTTTGTTATTTTCTAATTAAAAAAATGGAATCTGGAGGGATTAAATGATTTGGCCAGATTCACAACATTTAGAGTAAAATCAGGATCAGAATGGAAGTATTCTGACTCCTAGTGTTTTCTGTTTTTTGTTTTGTATCCACAATGTGTCAAATTGCCTCTTTGTGGAACCTCAGACACATTCTTCTCCCTGCCACCAAATATCTCTACTATAATTCCGTCACTCCTTTAATATAGCTCCTATTTTCACTTACATTTAAGCATTATTTGAGGGTTCATTTGTACGTCCTTTCTAATCCACAGTAGCATATCAGTAAAATCATGAAAGCTTAGATAGGAAAAATTCGAGTCAAGAAGTATAGCTGGTTACTTCAGTATTTCATTTTTTCTTTTTATCATGTGCAGAGCAAAAAGAATGAGCCAGGAAGGTATGTTACACTACTTGACATTGATGAGATCAATGCCTTTTCTCTGATATAAATCAAATTTTGGTGAATGTTAATGCTGCTTTTGAAATTAAATTTTTTTTTTTAATTTATTTGAGAGTGCATGCGTTCACTCACAAGAGCAGGGGAGGGGCAGGGAGAGAGAGAATCCTAAGTGGGCTCCGCACTGTCAGCACAGAACCTGACATGGGGCTCTGTCCCATGAACCGTGAGATCATGACTTGAACTGAAATCAAGAGTTGGATGCTTACCCACTTAGCCACCCACCAGGCACCCCTTGAAATTAATTTCTGAAAAATTAAAATACTAAGTGAGGTTGAAATTCATTTCTGAAGTACAAATGAATATTGAAAACATCTTTACTTTTTATGGAACTCTAGTGATAGAAATGATTTATCGTTTCCAGTTATCTCTCAATCTATTAAAATCTATTTGTTTTTATTATGACTTCCTTGGTATTAAAATACGGTGACTGGAAAGAATAACCATAGGATTTGGAATATTCTGGTTCTTAAGGTTTTAATACAGTGAAATTTGTTTCTTTCTCATTCACAGTGGTTTACTTTGTAGAGTGAGTGCAGGAAATGATATGGCATGCCTCACTACTGATTTACTTGCTGCTCTTGGCAAGACGGAACCTGTTTTTACTCCTTTGGTGTTAGCCTTTCGCTACTGGGCTAAGGTAAGTGGAACAGAAGAAAAAAGTACGTATCTTTAAGATAACTCAGGCTTTTTCCTGTACTAACATGTAAGATAAATCATAATATATGGGGATAAAATAGTTATCTGTGCCAGACAGAAAATGATGTGGCAAGTTCTGATTATGGACATGAAAATGAAGTCTCCTAGACATACAGAGTAATTGATATATTTTATTATTCTCCTTTTATGTAGTACAGAAACATTTTCTTTCACATAACAAATGAGGCTCAAGTTTTCACCCTTAATGTAAGTTAAAGTTGTAAGATGTGGTTATGCAAGTTAATGCATAGGTTTGCAAGGTTTTTTTGTTAGCATCTTTTTTCCTGTCTCTGTCTCAGAACATTGTTCTCTTTCCTCTAAGTTACTGATAACCTACAGCAATTTCTACTCGGGTAACTGCTGAGAATCAGTTATCTGTTTCTTAAATTAGAATTAATTTTGGAAGGCTGCGGTATCCTTTGTTGTCATTTCTTTGGTATGGAGGTAAGGAGGAGTGATAAAGTCACTACCATTATCAGTCCAAAAGACTAGAGAGAGAGAGAGAGAGAGAGTTTAGCCTTTCTGAGTGTGTTCTTATCAGTATAGTATTCATCAGTTGTTACAGTAGTGATGAGTATAAATTCTCAGTCTTATATAAAGAAGATGGATTAAGGGGGTGGTGGTGAAATGAGTAAATTGAGAGCAAAAACTGCTAGAGGATTCTTCTTGGAATTTTTTTGTTTGGACTCTGATAAGAGGATTGAACTCAGGAGTGGGGCAGAACCAGCTGGTTGAGTAAGGAGGAGCAGTCAGAATTCTAAGGTTGGGGTTTTTTCAACTCAAGACCTTTGTGTTTGCTGTTCTCTTCATCTAGAATGTTCTTACTACACATACCCAGCATGGTTACTTTTTTCCTTTTTTCAAATTTTTGCTTAAATTTTACCTTGTCAGGATTCCCTGACAAGGGAAACCATATATAAAATAGCATTGCCTTCATCATTCTCCCTGTCTTTACCCTGCTTTATTTTTTTCATAGCACTTACTACCACCTGCCATACATATATTTATTTGTTTGTGATCTGTTTTCTTCCATGAAATTGTGAAGTCTGTGAGGACAACGCTAGTAACCAAGGTTTCTCAGAGTGTGGGATGAGACTGGTACATGAAGCATAGCTATCATTCAGGAAACTCAGTGTACCAACTCTGGGAAGGTTAGTGGCTTCATAAGGGATGAAAGTGTAAACAGTAGCCCCTTGGATGATATTTCTTAACTATGTCCTAAGTTTAGTTATTAGAAAATAGTTTCCGTTTTCTTAAGATATTCTTTTATTCAACTAAGGTAGACTGTGTGAGAAGAATATGAATGATATTCATACAAGTTACTTTCATTTGGAAAAAAAAAATGTAGTCTATTAACTTTGTTTCCTAAAGTGGCTCTTACAAGATTTCTCAAACTTCTGTTGATTCTAAATGTACTAGTCAATGAAGTACACTAAAAAAATGCAGTATGAAGCTGGTTAAGAGTGGCTCTTTTCTATTAGATCCAACAGAACAGTGTGCCTGATTTTTGGCTCTTGTGTTGGTTGCAAAGAGCTTTTTTTCATGGTTTTCATTTGCTGAGTTTATTGTGAGAAACCTAGAAATAATTCCTGGTATATTTTTTCTCTCAAAGTCTTTTTTTAAAACAGCTTTATTTATCGTGAGGTTTTAAGCCACATTGTACATTTTATAATAAAGCACAGATTTTCCACAATTTGAGAGTTCAGAAAAATTCTAGTATATGAATATAATTTATTCTGTAACTGATGTAATGAAATTGCTCTTGACTATTCTCTGGCTGTCTCCTCTCTTAATTTTAGCCTCCCAGTAATAGGAAATAGTTTTTAAGTAAAGCCTTTTAAAACTATTTAGCCTTATCAGCCCTTTATAGTCAAGTTTCCTGACTCAGAGTCACTTTTCTTTGGTTAACATAAGAATTAGGGGCGCCTGAGTGGCTCAGTTGGTTGAGCGTCCGACTTCGGCTCAGGTCATGATCTCACGGTTCATGAGTTCGAGCCCTGTGTCAAGCTCTTTGTGGACAGCTCAGAGACTGGAGCCTGCTTCAGATTCTGTGTCTCCCTCTCTGTCTGCCCCTCCCCCACTCATGCTCTGTCTCTCTCTCTCTCAAAAATAAACATTTAAAAAATTTTTAAAGAAAAAAAGAATTAATTTTAGCAGTATTTGACATCTGAAAGAAATTCTTGGAGACCACTACATGGAAAAAAATGAAACTGGACCACTTTCTTATACCATACACAAAAACAAACTTGACATGGATTAAAGACCTAAATGTGAGACCTAAAACCATAAAACTCTTAGAAGAAAACATAGGAAGTAATGTCTTTGACATCAGCCTTAGCAACCTTTTTCTAGATGTGTTTTTTTAGGCAAGGGAAGCAAAAATAAAAATAAACTATCAGGACTACACCAAAATAAAAAGGTTTTGTACTTATAAGGAAACCATCAACAAAATAAAAAGGCAGCCCACTGAATGGGAAAAGATATTTGCAGATGATGTATTTGATAAGTGCTTAATATCCAAAATGTGTAAAGAACTTTTACAAGTCAGTACCAAAATACCAAATAATCCAGTTAAAAAATGGGCAGAGGACCTGAATTGACATTTTTCCAAAGAAGACATATAGCTGGCCAACAGATGAAAAGATGCTCAATATCACTAATCATCAGGAAAATGCACATCAAAAGCGCCATTCCAAAAAAAAAAAAAAAAAAAAAAAGCGTCATTACACTGTCTTATCAAAAGATAAGAAATAGCTGGTGTTGGTGAGAATGTAAAGTAAAAGAAACCTTCTTGCAAGGTTGATGGGAACGTAAATTGGTGCAGCCACTGTGGAAAATAGTATGGAGGTTCCTCAAAAAATTAAAATCAAAAGTACTATACAATTCAGTAATTCCACTCCTGGGTATTTACTCAAAGAAAAAGAAAACACTCCAAAAGACATGTGTACCTCTGTGTTTATTGGCATTATTTGCAATAGCCAAGATAAGGGAGTGACACAACTATCCATTGATAGATGAATGGATAAAGAAGATTGTGTGTGTGTGTGTGT